TCTTTGACTCTGTGCTTTTGTGTCTTTTATCTCTTACCCTGTTCTATCTGCTGTCATCTGAACACTGCCTTCTTCTCTGAATGTCTCCACATCAACAGCCTCTTCCTGACTAGTCCCAGTGTGTGCAGCTCTCGATCCTCCCTCTGGTGCCAGTCAAGGATGGTCTTCCTCCTCTGCCTCTGCAGGTGCTGCCCGCTGACTTTGGGAGAGGATGAGGAGACACACAACTGAAGTGTTTCCCCCAAGGTCAGGGTAGGACATTGAAGTGGCTCTTGTGTTTGGCTTTCATCACTAATGCTACAGTGAGTGCAGAAGTGGGGGTAACACTGCGACATACTGGTTTCAGTTCCTTCGGTGAATACACGGAAAGCTTGCTAGATTATATGGTAATTCTGTTGTTAATTTTGGGAGAATCACCACGCTGTTTTCCATAGTGGCTACAGCAACAAACATTTCCTCCAACAGAACACCGTGCTTTCTTTCTCTCCAAATCCTTACACACACACACACACACACACACACACACACACACACCATGCAGACAGGAGTGAAAGGATAGCTCATTGTGTTTTTAGGAGTCTTTTTCAATTTTTATTTTTCATTAGTCATGTTTGCAGTGTGTAATGATTACATTCGTCATGGGGAGTTAGTGTGCATGCAATGTATCTTCACTCTGTCTTTGTCTTCTTTCTCTCCCTCTGCCCTCCTCACTTCCCATGATCTCTTTCCTTTTTGCAAAAGATCTATCTTCCCATTTCCTATGAAATATATATTGAATTTTCATTCTTTATTTATATTTCAAGTTTTTCATAGATGCAAAACCACACAATATTTAAGCTTGTGTGTCTGGTTTATTTTATCCAACATTATGTTCTCAATTGGCATCCATTTTTCTACAAATCACTCATGTTAGTCCTTCTTTATGGCAGAGTAGTACTCCACATCTTCTTAATAAATTCATCTGTTGATGAGCATATAGTCCTCTTGCAATATTTAGCCATTATGAACTGTACTGCTATAAACAACCCAGCTATTCTCTCTATAGGTATTTCCCCAAAGCAGTTGAAAACATCATAGTAAAGAGATACACACAGACTCACTGTGTTGTATTTTATTTATTTTTTTATTTTAAAGAAAAAAAACAACAAACTGACAACAACAAAGACAAAAACAAAACAACACAAAAACAGTAAAAATCTTGCACAATTTCAAAACAAGACGATAGGAAATTAACAATGGTTGTTGTATTATATATTGTTATCTTCAACAACGTTTCTCAAATTGCCAGATGTAAGAATGTAAGTTTGAGCAAACAATTAAAAAGGATAAAAAATTATTCTCCCTGTGGTTTTGATTTATATTTCTTTAATAACTTGTAATGTTGCACATCTTTTTTTATATACCTGTTGGACATTGGTATATCTTCTTTGGAAAAATGCCCTTTGCCTATATTTTTAAATTTTGCTTTGCTTTGCTATTGAGTTGTGTGAATTGCTTACATATTTTATCAGATTTGTGGTTTGCAAATGTTTCAGTCATTCTGTAAGATTTCTTTCATTTTAGTGATTATTTCCTGTGCAGACTGACTCATTTATTTTTCCTTTTGCTTCTTGCGCCTTTGGTTCATAGCAAAAGAATCAATGCTAAAACCAACACCAAGGAGCTCTTCCCCAGTTTTTGGAATTTGTGTTTTCAGGTCTGACCTTTAAGTATTTGTTTTGTGCTGATTATTTATGTATAATGAAAGATGAGTGTTGAGTTTCCTTATGAACCATGTGGATATGTGATTTTCCTAATGGAATTTATTAAAGACCTTCCCTTTTCCCTATTTTGTGGAGATCAGTAGACACAAATGTGTGGGTTTATTTCTGGGAATTCTACTTTTTTACTCTTTCTACTCTTTTATGTTGATCTATGGGTCTTTTTTCATGCCAGTACCCTGTTTTCATTACGATAGCCTTTTAAAGTGTTCAGTATTGATAGTGCAATATCTTCAGCTTTATTCTTCTTTCATTGCTTTAGCTATTTGGGATTTGGTTTGATTTCATACAAATTTGAGGGTTTTTTTCTTATTTCTGTGAAAATTTTACGGAATTTTGTGGAGATTGTATTGAATCTGTATACCATATGGAGTACATATGGTATATTTTATATTTCATTCTGTTCGTGTGAAATACTGCATTTATTGATTTATATATGTCGAACTATTGTTACATCCCACAAATAAATAAATACCTCTTGATCATGGTGGTTGGTTGGTTCTGTGTGCTGTTGGATTCATGTGCTTATATTTTAATGAGGAGTTGAGCATGCATGTTCATCAGAGATTCTATTCTGATCTATAATTTTCTTTTCTTCTGTTGTTTTTATCTGACTTTGGTTGCAGGGTAATATTGATCTCTTAAGTGAGTTTGGAAGCATAAAACTTTTTTCCTTTTGTGGAAGAATTTGAGAAAGATTGACTGTAATTCTGTAAATGTTTGATAGAATTTACCTAGGAAACTATCTGTTCTTGGGTTTTTCTTTGTTGGGAGATAATATTTTATCACTCAGTAAATGTTCCTACTGGTATGTTCAGACTTCTGTTTCTTTACCATCCAGTTTGGGCACATGGTGTGGTTCTACGAATTTATCCATTTTTTCTCGGTTATCCACTTTTTTGATCTATAATTATTCATATTTGCTTCACATGATGCTTTGTGTTTTGGAGGCATTGATGGTAACGTCTCCTCTCTCATTTCTGCTTTTATTTATTTGTTTTTTATTAGCTTTTTTTGTTTTGTTTTGGTTTTTCTCCGGTACCGGGAACCGAACCCACGACCTTGCGCTTGCCAAGCAGGCGCTTTGCCGCTGAGCTAAATCCCCAGCCCTCTGCTTTTATTTATTTGAATCTTCCATTTTTCCCCTCAGTGAGTCCAGTGAAACTTTTCTCAATTTTGTTTATCTTTTCAAAAAAAATTCGATTTTTGTTGACCTTTCTTATCATTTCTGTAGACTCTTTTTCCTCTATTTCTGGTTTATACTTCATTATTTTTTTTCTGTTGATTTTGGTCTTAGTTTAATTTTCTTTTTCTAGTTTCTTAAGTTTAAAGTTAGGGTGCTTATTTGAGATTTGTTCCTTAATATTGAACACTTCTTTCTTAGTATTTCTTTTGCCCTATCCTGTAAGTTTTGATATGTTGCTTCCATTTTCATTTGTCTCAAGATATTTTTTGACTTCTTCTTTGACCTATTGGTTATTCCAGGATGTACTGATTAATTTCCACGGATTTATGAAGTTTCCTATTTTATTTCTGCTATGATTTCCGGTTTCATATCATACAGTTGGGACAACATAAATAATATGATTTAAATATTACATTTGTTAAGACATTTTTGGGATCTCATACGTAGTCTACGTTAAGGTATTAAGAAGAAAGTGTAGCTTCTGTTGTTAAATGAGTTGTTCTACATATGTCTGTTAGGTCTACTTTGTTTAAGCAGTTGTTCATGGTTGTTTTTTATTGGTTTTTGATCTGAATGATCTATCCAATGTAAAGAGTGGAGCATTGAGTTATCCCAAAATTGTAGAAATGCTATGTCTCTCCTTTCAGTTTTGTTAACATTTGCTTTATACATTTACAATTGTTACATTCTCTTGAGGAATTGACCCCCTCTATCATTGCACAGGTACCTTCTATGCTTCTTGTATTTACTTAAAATCCATATGAGGACAGCCACTTCCACTCTCTTTGGGTTATCATTTGCATGGAATATCTTTTTCCTTCCCTCCACTTTCAGCCTTTTTAATCTCTCACAGGCAACATAAAATTGAACCTTGCATCTTTATTTCCTCAGCCACTTTCTATCTTTTGCTTGGAAAATTTAACCCATTTATAGTCTATATAATAGGAAAGGATTATTTTATTACCTCTTTTTACTGTTATTTTGTTATTTTGTTAACTGTTTTCTTATCTTTTGTGGTTCATTTATGTTATGGTCTGAAAGTGCCCCCAGAGTCTGTGTGTTGGACACTTGAACCCCAGTGCAGCAATGTTGGGAGACTGTAGGTCAGAGAAGTCTTCTCTCATGAGGTATGACTGTGGGAGTGGGCTCCTAGTAAGGGGATGAGTTCTACCACCTCTCACTTTCTTTCTCTTACCTTCTGTTTATTCTTCCACCACGGAATGGTGCAATAAGAAGACATTGGTGCAATACAGACCCCTGGATCTAGGGTTCCCAGCTTCCAGAAGGATGACTCAAATACTTTTCTGCTCCTTATAAGCTACCCAGTCTGTGTATTATTTTATAGCAGTGCAAAATGGACTAAGATAATTTGGTTATAAAATTAAAATTAAAATCCAGTTTTTCCTCTTTCTAAAGTTCAGATCTCTGAGTATATGGGATAATATCGCACCATTGAAGACTTACTCATGAGTACTTGCTTAAGCTCAGCACTAGACATCTTCAAATCAGGTTGTGTGTCCTTTAGGACAGTTCATGCATCAATGAGCCAAATATGTATTTCAGCTTGTATCAAATGACATCAGAATATGCTATTCTGGAGGTGGAAAGTTTTGGGACTGGAAATCTGCATCCCTCTACTTCTACTTTGAAGTTTTACCTATTTCTCACACAAGCACAGACACGCAATGCTGTGGGGCTTCCTCTCTGCTGTGGAGACAAACTCTTCCAAGAGGAAAACATGTGATTCGCTCTGGTTTGGAGGTTCAGACTTGCTCTGCTTACATCTTCTCATTTCCTAAGGACAACACAATCATTTAATTGTATCCTAATTGGAAGAATCCAGCTTCAACACCTCCTCAGATACAAAGAGAAGATGACAATGGGCCGTAATTATCCCAGCAGAGCTGAAGTGGGACAGGAGAGAAACAGGTGGTGCTTTATTAACAATGAGTTTGTAACACACAGGGAAGTGAGGAACATCTTAGTAATCAGAGAAATATTTCCTCTCTCCCTGTGGGGTAAGACTGGACAAGGTTTACCATCAAACACCTGTCTTGGGGAGCGGAGCAGATATTCCTCTCACAGGTTATGGATTAAGGAGTCAGCAGATGTGCTCATGCTGCTGAGCACACCTGATGAAGGCCTCTGCCTCTCCACAAAGTGCCTGGGAGGGCCCAGTCCCCTGGGTCTGATGTTCTCTGCAGCGAGGTGTCCTGGACACTCATAGTGTCCCCCTGCTGCTCTTGGAGGCTGCTCCAGCCCATGCAATTGAGTGCCATGCTGGGATGATGAGGAGCAACCTCCGTGTTGGTAGAAGAGGAGTGAACAAGTCAGCAAAAGACAGAGGAAGGCGCTGGGGGAAAGAGACAGAGGTTGGAGCAGGTAAGACCCACTGGGGAAAACGGCTTTGTAGAGGAATTCGGCAAAGAGCGTTTCCTCTTCTAGGGAAATCATACATTCCCTAGACTTTGTTCTCCTCTGAATAAATGCAGAGAAATCGCCATAAGCATTCTATGTATACTGGAGTGGTCTAGGGCAGGAGTGCTAAGGAGTTTGGGAACAGGAAGAAAGAGGGAGGGCTGTCACTGTCCTCTGTCAGTGGCTGCAGAGGGGATGTCATGTGCTTCCTAGGGGTGACAGCAGCAGAATGCCGCAGCCCACAGCAGAGGCGCTCGGGAGGAGGCATGACTCTACTTCAGGTGATGGGCTCAGCACCAGTTACACAACAGCTGCACTCAGCTATCCCAATAACAATAGCTAAAGGCCCACACCATCCCTTCAGATCCCTACAGGGGGACGTTGGCATTTTAGTGATTTTGAAAGCTGCCAAGAAGGGATTAAGAACCACAGGGCTAGAGGCAGTTGATTCCTTAAGGGTCAGGACATTAGTTTGGCTGGAGACACAAAGCTTCCCGGACACTGGCTGCAAGAATCTGGGTACATTCAGGCTTGTCTCAGGAACAACACAATGACAGCAGCAGTGAAATGTGAAGTTTTTCTAGTTCCTTTGTTTGTGCTCACCTGTGACGTGTGCCACACCCACCATGGAGCATCACACCCGAACATTCTGTCCTGTGAGTCACCAGGCTTTGCTACTGGCTGGATGGACAAAGGTGGATTCCAAGAAGCCCTGTGCTGGCTCATTCACTGGCGTCCCTCTTCTGGGAAAGCACCAAGCCCAGTTCTGCCTCACGGGGCTAATTTGCCTGTTTTCCTGGTTGCCCTTGTACTTTTTGGTCCAGTCATGCTAAATTGAAGGTGTTTTCCTCACCTGGAGGGATGGCACATGCATCTTGTGAGAGGAACCAGATACTTCCTTCTCCCAGGAAGATGGATAGAGATACTTCATGATACAAAAACTTGTACGGAACCAGAAGAGGCCCAGAATAGCAAAAGCAATCATGGGTGACAAGAGCAACATGGGAAGCATCACAGCCCTGAATCTGAAGTTATATTGCAAGGCTATGGGGATAAAAACAGCATGACATTAGCACGAACACAGATGGGTGGATTGATGGAACAGGGACAGAGGATGCAGGCATGTGCAAGTCCATTCAACTACTTGGTCTTGGGCAAAGGGGCCAAAAACACACTGGAGCAAAGATAGTCTCTTTAGTAGATGGTGTTAGGAAAACCGGCTATCCACATGCAGAAGATTGAATCTAGACCCATATGTCTCACCATGTGCTAAACTAACATCAAAATGGACCAAAGATATAAATGTTAAGACAGGAACACTTAAACTGCTAGAAGATGAAATAGGGTAAAACTCTTAAAGGCATAGGCATAGGCAAGGACTTTCTGAACAGCACTCAAACTGCATAGGGAATCCTACTGAGAATCAACAAGTGGGATCATATCAAATTAATGGTCTTCTCACAACCAACAGAGTGAAAGGAAAAATTTACAGAATGGGAGAAATATTTTGCCAGCTGTCTTCAGATAGAGGACTAATATCTAGAATATGTAAAGAACTCAGAAAATTAGATGCCCCCAAAGTAAAAGACACAATCAAAAAATAGGCACGTCACAGAAGAAGTACAAACGCAAATAAAGGCATAAAGAAATGCTCAGCATTACTGGCCACTAGAGAAAAGCAAATTAAAACAACACTGAAATTTAATCTCACTCCACATCACCAAGAAATCTAATACTGACAAATGCTGGCAAGGTTGCAGGGGAAAAGGAGCCTTCCACACTGTTGGTGGGAATGTAAACTACAATAGCCACTACAGAAAGCACTATGGAGACTCTTCAAAAAATCAAACTAGAAATTCCACTTGACCCCATACTTCTCTTTTTAGGTATTTTCCTGAAAGAATAAAAGACACCATATCACAGTGATACACACAAACCCATGTTTATAGCAGCACAATTTGCGATAGCTAAATTTTAGAAGAGGCTTGTTACACACAATGGAGTACTACTCTGCCATAAAGAAAGAAAAGCTTGAGTCATTAACAGAAAATTGGATGCAGGTTGAGAACACAATGTTAAATGAAATAAATCAGACACACAGGCATAAATATCACAGTTTCTCTTATGTGAGAAACCCAGAGTGAAAAATAAAGGACAAAATAAGATGTGTAACAGGAAGTAGGAAGACAGGTTGTTCTCAAAGGGGAAGCGGGTAGAGGACGGAGGGAGGGGAAGGAGGCGGGGTGAGGAATGAATGGGTTGGGATGTGTTATGCACGTGTCCCAACTTCACACGAGGAATGGCGACATTAGTACTGCAAAAACATGTTAAAAATGGAGAGGATGAAGGGACTGGTGGAGAGGGTGAAAAAGGAATTGGGATGTGGTCTGTGCGGGTACCAACTCCCCACAAGGAGTGCGACCATGCACGTACTACACACATGTACTAAGAAGCAGAGGGGGGAATAGAGGGAGAGTGGATAAATGAATTGAAATGTGCCGTGTATATGCACCAACTCCACACACACAATGGAAACATCATATCCTGCAGACCTGCACAAACAAACAAAACCTGCTGCTCCCAGGATTTCTCCAGCTTAAACAATTTCCCTCAGGTCCACACGCCACCACCTCTGACGCGTCTGAGAGTCAGCCATGACTCGCTTCCCTGTGCTGCCCCTCTGCCCCGCCTGGCAGCCACTGCTTCCCTCCTCCCGCACCCTCATCCCAGGGCTGGGCCGGTTGGAACCGGGCAGGAAAGACAGGTCCCTTCTGTCCTCCCTGCACTGCGGTGGGGCTGGGTTGGCCATCCTCGGATGCCAGCCACTGGGCTGGCTCGTAACATCCATGCTTCCTTCCTTCCTTCTTCCTGCTTCCCCTCCTCCCTCCTTCCTTCCTTCTTTCCACAAGTGTAAGGTAGACATGGAGTTAAGTGATTAAGAAGGACTGGTGCACTCGATGCAGCTCCGGGTAGGCCAGGAGTCTCCCGAGGACAGGAGGCCGGGGTAGACAGTCAAGGGCAGGGTGGGAGGTGCTGCTCAAGGTCCCAGCTGCTAAGGGAGTGCAGGAGGGCACCTGGCCTGCCCATGGGGCCTCAGCATCAGCTTCCCAGAGAAATTATAGCCAAAGCAAATGGGATGATGTAGTTAAAGGGCAAACAGGAAAATGTTATAGGCATAGGAAATAGAAAATAAAAACTCTGGGAAATAGAAGATAGCGTGGAGCTCACAAATAATTAGAACACTTTGTGCTGGATGGCGCTTAACAAGTGATCAGCTCCAGCTGAGGAGTTTATCCAGCGCTTTCTTGGTCTGGCCCTGGAGGTCGCGTCAGAGAGTTTTGGCTAACCACGAGGACAGTGAAGAGCTTGTGGGAGTTTCAGGCATCAGTGAGGTGGTCAGCTGAGCACACAGCATGCCCAGGGGGGTGCTAAGGGAGGGCTTGGGAACCTCAAGCCAGCACCACCTGCTGCCTGCACAGGGCTTGTCTCGCCAGGGCCGCTGGACCTTGGCCCTGCGTCTTTGTCTTGCTTTCAGAGCACGGGCGATTCCTGACTCTGAAGCTGAGCGCTCGCTTGGTTTGTCCTCTATGGGCCGCTTCCTTGCGTCTGCCGGCCTGAGTTCTCAGTCCTCTCTGCAGCTCCTGATGCTGGCCTCTCCCCGCTTGGGACCCGCTCTATGGAGGCCGCTCCACAGGGCCTGCCCAGCTGCCACCTGCGGCTTCCTTCTCTTCCTCTTCCACACCGCACAGCCTCACCACAGGCCTGCCTGCCTGCTGTGGTAATTCTCCCGACCTTGCTCCCTCTCTGCTGCTGCCTTACAGGGCAGAGACTTATGCCTAAGGAGGCCCAAGACGGCCGCTCAAAGGCTTTGTAGCAGGCCTGAGTCGGAGGGTTTGTGCCGCCTGCCCCTTTCAGTTTTCAGGCAGACAAACGTGTACAACAGTCTCAAACCCCTTTTTGAAAGTTCAAATGACAGAGGAGAAGCCTGCTTGGTGAATGTGGAGAGCTTTAAACTTAAAATCACTCGGCGTCAGCTCCCCGAACCCAGGCTGTGATACAGGTGGTCTCCCGCTCCATCCTCAGCTGCCTGTCCACCTCCTTTCTTGCAAGATAGGGCAGAAGTCCACATCTCGTGGTCTTCAGCTGACTCTTAGGTACCCAGAGATGATTTCTGAAGGGCTTTAGCCTCGGAATGCCAACAGCTCTTTCTTCCTTAGAAATCTAGGAAGACTTGAGGCTGGGCAGAAACCCCAAAGTCCTTTCACACATTTCCACCAGAAGGAGGAAAAGAAACTGCTCATTTCAATCCCTGTGTGCCAATCATCAGCTGTGTCGTCCTGAGCAGGCTTAACCTTCTACTGCCTTGCCTCTAAAAGCTGCAGATCATGTGTAAGACAAACAGCAATGCACAGCTTGTGGTCTTCTACCAACGTGGCTGTGACCTCCATGAGTCTCACAGTCACTACTTATTCATGGAGGGAGAGCTGCAAGTGACACTCTGTGAACCTCTCAAGTCCTGCAAATCCTGGGGTAGAATGTAGCATAAGGGAAAGAGGGTGAGACTGGGAACCCAGCTGGGTCCTCCACTGCCTTGTGATGATATCATAAGCTCCTAGAACCTAAATAGGCACACGGAGGATCTCTTCTGACTTCTGGACAGACTGGAGCAGAGCTTCCTCATTCAGAAGCTGTGTGTCTCTGGGGAAGTGACTTCACCTCTCTGAACCTCAGCTGTCTCCTGTCTGTGATGGGCATATTCATGCCACTCCATACATGGTCAGACAAGCACTGTGAGTCCTGAGCACAGAAGCTGGGGCAGAGAAAGCATTCAGTTAGCGCTAGGGAGTGGGTGCTGTACTTTGGGTCTTCAAAACCTAAGCAGTCAAGGCTTAGACCCCAGGGGGTGCTGTTGGGGGATGGTAGTCCTAGGTCCCTGGGGGCCTTCCCAAAGGAACAGGGCCACCTGATGGTGGACTGAAACTCCAAAAGCTTGAGTTAAAATAAACCTTTACTTCATCTTCTCAGGTGTGCTGCTCTGGTGATAAGGAGCTGACTCACTTGGTGATGCCGGGTGTGCCTTGAGAGCACGCCTGCCCTCCTGGAGGTCCGCACTAGGATCCTGCACCCGCCTGCTGCACAGACCTAGTCTGAGTGCTGCATCACTTGGGCCCAGCTGCCATGGTGGTCTCTGTATCCTCCCAACACCCCAGCGGGGACCGCAGAGCCCACCCAGCCCTCACAGGCCTGTCTATGGGGCGGGCCACTCCTCTGTGGGAGCTCCCGTGACAGCCTCCAGCAGGCACAGACAGTAACCACAGATGATCTAAGACACGCTTGGCATCGCTCCCAAGTCAGCCCAGGAGCTGCATGCCTGTGTGGCATCCAGCCTCCCCCAGGACCACCCGGGCTTAGAGGCTGACTTATGGCCTTGCGAGTGTGATGAGCGCTTGCTCCTTCCCAGGGTAAGGGAGTGGCTGAGGGCCATGGCTGGGCCTCCTAAATCCAGGGGTCTTAGTCTCCATGCCTGAGGGATACGTGATCATGATTATCTAGGTTCTCTCCAGGAGAAGGGTTTGGCAATTTCATAGGAGGAGTTTTAGAATATTGAGCTAGTCCAGCATCATGGCTAATGCATATGGATGGCCTAAGGTCCTCCAAGAGGTGTTACAAGGGCTTTCTCATTTTTCACTTTCTCGCTTGTTTATTGCTGTAGAGCTTGAGAGACAGCATCAGATCCAGGTGGGAGAGACACCGAGAGGTCCCTGCTCCGGCGCAGGCCGGTATGAGGAGGTGGAGCTGGGCTTGAAGCTTCCCACAGCGCTCCCAGCGCACCTCCCGCAGAGCAGTGCACGGCGGTAGGACCGGGTGGGAACAAATCACCTCTGGAGACGAGGTGGGACAAGTCCCTTCCCTTTCTGTACTGTTAATCCGCATGCAGGGACTCCAAGTGGACCGCGGGCGGGGGCAGCTCTGGCTGGAGAGGCAGCTGAGCTCCCGGAGTCTGGGGCCATTGAGGCTGCATGAAGGATCACTTTCCGCATGGGTGGTGAGAATCCATGCCGGCTGAATTGCAGTGAGTCGCCGTGAGTAAACGCGAACTTGTATGCGTCTGTGCGTATTTTGTTCAGTGAATTACTCTGGACAGGGTATTCCAGTGTGGCGTGTACTGTTTCCACATTCACAATGACCTTCCAGTGCTCTTACAACGTCTTGTTTGAATGAACGTGATTCAAACTCGAGATAACAAAGCGCGTCGCCCACACGCCCACGTCACACTCCTGCCATCGAGAGACTTCTGTGTACCTGCTCTCATCGCCAGGGAACGGTTCGTGCCCAAACTCAGAGGAGGCACCAGCGGCTCCCGCGGCTCAGAACTGAGGTTTGATGCCCAGTCTTCGCTTTACCGCAGTGCCGTGGCCTCTCGGAGGACGGTTTCGTGAGGAGATACAGGGGCTTCCGCTCCTCTCCTCTGCTGGAAGCGCCAGAGAGGCCCGAACCCGAGGGTGGGGAGGACATGGAGAGGAAGAGGAAGAGAGGTGGAAAGCTGCAGCATGACAGACAGGGGTTGGGGCTCTTGGTGGTGACGAGCGCGTGTCGCGGAGGAAAGCCCCGAGGCGTCCCGTCACGTCCCCTGCGCCTGTGGATCGGAGAGAAGGGCAGCAATGCACTAAGACCTGGGCTTCAGGCCTGCGCCGGTTTACTTCCTCTTTCACGTAACTTGCACTTTCCGGTTGGCCGCAAAAGCTGTGCATGTGAGCGTTTGCGGGCCGCAGGCGCCGTCCCTGAGGTTCAGGGTCCTCTCCGCACGTCAGCAATGGGGGCGGAGTGGCCAGGCTCATCACAGGGGCTCAGGGCAGGGCCCGCTGGACAGGGAGACCGAGCGGCGGAGTCTGCCAAGCGGTGACAGGGACAGGGACGGGGACGGGGAGGATGAGGAGCAATCTGACGCAGGCAGAGGGTCCTCAGTCTGAGGCACTGGGGCCCTCGGCAGAGGAGGCGGGGTCCCTGGGCGCGGTGAATCTAACTGCACTCAGAAGAAAGCGGGGCGGGCCTCGCGGATGGAGTCCTCTTTCGTGTGCAGTGGACGCGCTCGTGCTCGGCGGCTGCACTTCGCAAGTCGGCGCCTTGGCTTTTAGTGTCCTCAGATGCTGGGTTAGAACAAAGTTTACTGGACAGTTTACTAGATCAGTTTCTACCTTTAAAAAACCAGCTTTCCAGGAGAGCATACTGGGGCGCCTCGGGGTCCCCGGCCCCTCTCGGACCTCTCCCCAGCCGCAGGGACCCGGGCTGGGGTGCCTCCCAGCAAGGACGGGCTGGCCAACCTGCCACAGAGCCTGGTCACGCAAAGCTCAAATAAAGAGCAAAAAACAGAAGACGGCCACAAGGAGTCGGGGTGGGACGGGTCCAAGCGCGGGAGGGGGCGTGAGCCGACGACGCGAGGTGAGCCGCGTGCACGCGCCAAACCCCGGGGGCACCGTACGCTGTGAGCACGAACTCAGAATAATAATAATAATAATAATAATAATAATAATAATAGCTGATAATAAGGGCGGGATCTGAGACCGAGGGAGGCCTGGGCAGGGACGGAAAGGGGCTAAAACGCAGCAAGACCCGCTGAGCACACGGCGCGCTCTCTAGGACGGTGCAAGCCTCGTGCAGCGAGCAGCAGGTCATGAAAAGCGGGCGGGGAGGCGCAGGGAGCAGCTCTGGCCTTCCGGGCCTGAGACCCGGGCTCACCCGCGGCGCTGCCCGGCGCTCCCGGAAAGGGCCACGCGACACCCGGGGTCGCCCGAGCTCGGGCCGAGCC